AGGTCTCGCTGGATAACCTTCTCGCTCGCCACTGCCGCTGCCGCTCGCTCCGCTTTTGACTTTCCCACTCGCCGCAGTCGCTTACTTTTCTCTTTTTTGTCGGCAGTGACTCTTCACACGCACCAAATGTCCCTTTCCCAACGGTCGACTCTGCCCCTACCGACCCTGATGCCGGATACTAAGGAGAGTACTGTCGAGGAAAAAGAAACACTAAGGCGATCGCTAACTCGACACTAGTCGCTATGAAAGGTCGCCACTGAACCTTTGCCTGAACTAGATTGAGTAACCTTACAACCTCCGAGCTATACCTCTCGGTGTAAGTCCTTGCTGCCGAACTGAACCAGGAAGTGCTACCAAATGTAACGGTAGCGAGCTTCACAGAGTAAATTGGAAAGTGATTAGATTGTCGTCTTAAACTACTAACTACGAAAATGTATACTATACTAAACTACATGAAGTAAATGTTCTTTCTCTACGGCTTCTTCAACGGCCTTGCCCGCTAATGGTGCGACAATCTTTAGCTTGTTCGACAGTCTTGCCATCGTTCTCTTAACGATGCGACAAGCTTTATTCTTGGTCGGCAACCTTGCCATCATTACAAATGGATTATGACCTAATGTATCCAGTACTAGTATGTGCTCCGCCTGGTGCCTCCCCATTCAGAATACCCATCCCATTCTCTCACCCAGTCCACAAATTCCTGCTCTGTACTCGGGCTCCCACGGCCACAAACTAACAACCAAACTGAATACGACGATCTCGTCCTTCCAGCTACTTTCCACTGCACATGACACCTTCAACCACGTGAAGGCAACCAGCTGCTAACTTTCTATCAAATGAAGGCTCTACTATTGCATGTACAAGTCACTGCCTGAGCCTCAGCTCACCCCCTTGCCCGCCCCGACTTTCCCGACCCGGTATAGCCTTTGAACCAGGCTGACCTCCTTCATCTAGAGTTGCTTTGCCTGTACTACTGTAGCATAAGTTACCAGTAATCCGTCATCACCATCATGACGTCCTATTTTTAAGGTGGCATGGGACCGCAATCCCCATCAAATTCCTTCGCTTAGAAAACGCACTTTGCTGACGTTAGTATTATTTCTTGCATACCATATTGATATTTCGCAATAACTTACATGTATTTCGAAGTATACTGTACATGTACTACCAAGTGGTTTAGCGTTCGATCGGGTTAGGGTCCACAATACTACGTAATGTTTTAGTGTTCGACCGGGTTAGGGTTCGCACACAACTCCGATCGTCAACAGGGTGACATGGCACCCAATTGAATAAGGCCGCGCCAAATTAACTCACTGAATAACCAATCAAAATCCAGTGTTTTTAATAATACGATTTCATTGGCTGAAAACATTTGGCGGCAATTTCAAATCAATTGATGGCCATCTAACCAAGTTTACAATCGTAGTGCACACGAACGTGGGGCAGTCGACCGACGTGCAGTACCTGGTTGCCCAGGAAGGAAACAAAGGGGGGCAATCTTCCTCGAGATCTCCGAGTTGTGGCGGGGGTTAGAACAGTGGACATTCGGCGCGTACGCGTACAGTACAACGACCGACCCACGACCGCCAGCCCCGCGTCAACGCTATCTCCACCACTTCGCCTTCCATTGGGTTTCACTTTACTGACGCCAAGTGGAACTCAGTAGACGCCACGATCACACCCTTCCGCGTCAACAACACGTGGCACCATCCCGTTTGGGTTGCATCGGTTGGTGACCTTGTGCGTGGTGTCGCCCTCCAATTGCCACGACGACCGCAACAACACCGTCGCCATCACGGAACGGCGGCGCAACCGAGTCCGCCATCGTTCTCCCCAGCACGCAATGCTCTTGGTCGATACCCGCCGTGGATTCGCAATGCAGTGTAAACCAAAACGACACATTCCAGCTGGGTGTGGAATTTTTGCACATGGTTTTGGTGTGCATGCACGTGGTTATATTTAAGTGGTATATTTGCACGTGTTTCAATCTACGTGCGCCAATTTGGACGGTTTGCACGTGGTATACTGTAATTTTCAGTCAAAAATAGTTGCATGTAGACCGCGCAAATAATCCAACAGCGTGCTCTGCAAGTTACTACGCAGTAACGTGAAGCCCACATGATTTTGGCTATGCGATCATATATAGATGCTTGTTGGATTACTCTACCTCGGCCTATCCGTATTCAAGGACTATTGCCATCGTTTGAGGGATGCCCTCAGCACACACAAACTACTACATCTCGGCCATTCCTTGGCCAAAACCACTCGTTCTTGGACTGGTACCACCGCTGATTCCTCAGCGGTGACACCAGTCCCACATACATAGCGAAATACCGACTTGCCAACGTCTGTGTCGAACACCTTGCGCCGCCGACCAGGAGTTGAATCTAGTTGCATCTAGTAGTTAGCTATCGCTCGCAAGCCACTGAAATATACTTACCGCCTGGAATAGCAACACAAGGGGCTCGGGGTGCCGAGGATACAAGGCTACAGTTTCTACAGGAAGTGAAGGGAAATGATTACGTAAGCATCAGTTCCACTGTTGCTCTCAGGGAATGTTTCTTCACCTACATGAGGGGTTCCTCGATATACATGCATAATATATTAATACGTCATGTTACAGTTAATAGGAAACTGGGAATTAAACACAAATGCAAGTCAAAATGATAACTTGCATTTATGAATCGAAGAAACGGTCCTACTGTTTGAATGCGGGAATTCGGCCCAACCAAATGGTACAGATAAAATATTGGAACATAAGCCCGAATTTCACACCTTACCATGAGCAATACCACGGTAAACTGGTGACAAGTTCAACTTAACATGGTTCGACATTGGAGGACTACCAAAATTGCCTCAGAGTGCGTTCTCAGACATGTTTTTATTCAAGTCTGAGAGCCACCTCAGACTGAAACGTAAGCATGAATTTATTTTGCAAGCTCACCAAAAATATACTTAGATTTTACATTCAAGAGAGCCGTTTCGTTGGTTTTTATTTGCTCATCCCATATTTGTCATGCGTGTGGTTACCAGCGTGCTACTGCTCTACTGCCCACCGGAGGCGACGAAACGACGCCGCATCATACGACTCTTGCTCTTGTGTCGTATCAGATCTTTGCTTCGTGAACGCAACCTTCTACATTCATTGGCCCTCTTAGACGACCAGCTTGGCAGTCCTTGGAACAAGATGTATTACAGCCGTCACACGACGTCGTTCATCACAGCGGTTTCAATTCCACCCGACACCTTCGACAACCTGCTTGCCGTTTTCAGTCGGTACTACACAGTTCAGTCTGGCTTTGGCCGTCGTGGCCGTCCTGCGCGGGTACAGTTCAAACACTTGCAATGGTGTTGCATTTCTACACCCATGCGACCGAAGCAAAGACAATGTGTGAGTTATTCGCAGTCCCACCCGCGACGTATGCCCGGGTTTTGGCAAAAGCTGAAAAAGCGTTGTCCCTTGCGTTGAAGGCGATGCCCGACGCAGCGATTTGTTGGCCGACGTTTGATCAGCAAGTGGTTTGGGCTCAGGCAACGGAAGCCCGCGAGCCGCTTGTTACGGGAGTTTTTGCATTCGTGGACGGAAAAAATCTCCCTGTTCGGGAGCCGTCGTCGTCGGATTTACAAAATGCTCAGTACAATGGTATCATTATATATATATATATATATCTTAAATATGATGTTAATATAATTCCTATATGTGTGCTAGGTTGGCTACATTCCGTCTTCGTGACGGGTGTATTATGCTACGGTGTTGACGGCACAATGATCTGGGGACGCCACAATTGTCCAGGGTCCTGGAATGATGGGGAGATGAGTCGCGGCCTCCAGGACCGACTTGCAGACCCCAGATTTTGTGCTCCAGGAATGAAAGTCGCATCCGATTCCGCGTTCCCAATCAGTGGGCGATGTGCTGGAAGAATCGTGACGCCGATTAAACAAGGTGATCTCGCAAGAGTACCTCCGGATTGTCGGTTAGGACTACAGGCTATGAACGATTCGATTACATCGTTACGACAGGCTGCCTAATGGGGAATGGGATCTGCGGTCAAAGTGTACCGCCAATTAGATCTAAAAATGCCTTACGATCCACCATTGCGCGGTCGCCGTTTACAGAACATTTTCCGTTTGTACAACTATCGGGTGCGCCAGACAGGAATAAGCCAGATTAAGAATGTATTTCAAGTTTGATTTATTTTGAATTCACAGATTAAGAATGTATTTCAAGTTTCAAATTGTTCTGAATTAAAAAACAAATATTATTCTTGACGCTTGGAGTTATCACCAAATAACTTCATCATCATAGCCATTTGAAATTGTTCTTGGCGGACTCTGTTCTCGTTGTCCTCACGTCGTTGTTTTTGATCGCGTTCATGCTCTTCACGACGTAAGCGCTCCTCGCGCTCTTCTCGAACAATTTGACGTTGATAGTCTCGTTCTTCCCGTTCATCGCGCAGGCGTTGACGTTCATCTTCCCGTTGTTGCTCCCGTGCGTCCCGCTCTTCTTGCAGGTTTTGGGCACGCTCCTCCAACATCACCAGAAGTGATGGAATGTCGTTACCTGGAGGTTGTTCGTTATGTGCTTGTTCGATTAATGTGTCCAAGCTTCGACGGCGTCTTGCAACGAACGACATCGACGAAGCAGACGAGGATATCGACGGCGGAGGGTTTGGAAACTTTTCCACAGTCAAGCTCTTTTCCAGCAAGCGAAGTGTGTCGTGGGAAAGCCCCGATCGATTTGGTGGCTCAGCTTGAATTGGGTTTAGTCGACGCGGACGCTTGGTTACCGGGGGCTCTTCATCGCCATCGCATCCTTCCTCATCGTTGGCAAAAACATTCGATACATCATCGTCGTCCATGGCAGTCTGCTCCACAGAACTCACCGCACTCGTCGGCATATAGGGGCCGTGGTGCGCGATAGCGTCAGGAGCAGTCATCCTGATCTCGTCGTCACCAACGCCTTCATGTTAACTGATCTCGCTGTTATCATCCATGGTCTCCACGACAATCCAGCTCTCGTTGTAGCCGTTTGGCACGAGCGACTAATGGCGGGTAGTTTGGATCTCCTGTTGGTTTCTTGTGCGCCTTAAGAAAGGTGAACTTTCGCTTGCACGCTTCCCAGTCTCGAGCAAACACAACGCTTTGGTTGGCGTTGAACAGTTGAGCGACTTTGGCCCACCCATGTTGACCGAGAGGGAGAAGTGATTGGACACAGTCGAGCATGATATCGACGTCGTCGTCGCCCCAGTGGGGTGCTGAGCGCTTAGTTGCCATCTTGGCACCGACCTTCGACGCCATCAGTCCGGGCACCAGTGATTTCTGCAATTCTGAGACACCTTGAAATCTGCGAAGACCAAAATTTAATCTTCGCACATCCGAGGGTTCCTTAGATTGGCTAAAATCGCTGGTCTGAGTAAATTTTAGATTCAAAATCTGAGGTATTTTTGGTAGTCCTCCATTGCGTGCTGCACGGAAGTACTCCGGAGTAAACTTTTATCCCAGCGATACTATTGGTGGAGCCGCCGCTCTCAAGCTAATGCAGGACTTTCGCATCAACAAAGCGGACAAGAAAGCTCGGGAAGCTATCGCGAATGGTGACATAGCGGCCAACCGTAAGCACCTCGCCAGAAGCGATTAACTTCGCCCAAGCCCATGTGATCATGGCAATTCGTCTGGGTGAGTCGATTGCGACCAGTAAAATCGCTGGGATCTTCGCATCATCGGTCCACGGGGCTGAAATCTTAACCAACAACCAAGCTCAAGCTGCCATCAAAGCTCACGTTTCTACTGGGAAATCTGGCTGATTTCCCGACGCTGTGAAGTTTCGAACGGCGGCCACGGATTTCATGCACGTTAAGAGGGCTGTCAATGTGGTGGTTATCGTGCACAACGGTGTAATGTGGATAAGAAATTTGGCCAATGGCGCGATGGCCATGGTCGTGAACAGCCCGAATATTGCCAACTGAAAGGTCGTCAAGAAAGCCATTATGGATCCTGAGGCCGGTGTCGCCAGGATGATGGGCGCGGTCAAGCTGGCCAAACAAGTTAATGCCTTTGGACTCAAAGGCGCACAAGAGCCCGGGGCAACGCTTGCGCAGCTATCAAGTTGAAGAGCCAAGTGAATCCGATCCATGGAAAGAAGCGCCCTCCGCTGGACAGAAAAATGCGAAGCGATCACTGGTGGCCCGCCAAGTTCTCAAGAATGGCGCGACCACGTCCAAAGGAAAGGCATTGTGGGGCACAATCAAGGACCCAAAAAGGCGGGGAAAGTTGTTGCCAACGCTGCGCAAAAGGTGATAGAGAAAGCCAAGACATTAAAATCCCTGGCGTTTGGTGTCCGGTACTAGTACTATTAATACGAAGTACTACACCATTTTGTGGTTAATTTCGTAAAATATCTGGTATATTTCGTTGGAGTCCCATTTAAATTCGTGGAGCTTCATTATATTTCGCGACCTCGGCATTTAGTTTCGTGGGAACGTCGAATTCACTCATTCTATTTCGTGGACTGCCAGTACAGTATATTCGGTAATTGTATTTCGTTATTTAGTGTGTGATAAAAACGGGGTCTATGAACTGATAGTACTATTAGAATTTATGTGCACTGAATTCTCAGAGTAATTTAACACGAATCGACGCCAGCACCAACCACTACATTGACGACCACCACACTCGTCAATGTAGTGGCTGGTGGTTGGTGCTGACATGGCAGTGGCGTCTGCCGTCGTTGAGTATTCCTTCCTCAACGACGGCAGACGCCATCGCCATGTCAGCACCAACCACCATGCAGTCCCGCACACGAATGAACCACGCAAGGAAGTCGACGCAAGCACCTGCCACACCACTACGCATGTGCCATGCATGTCCAACCACTTCAGAATTATACGAATAATCCCGCATTTACAAGGCAACAGTGGAGAATCACATGCAAGGTAGTTTTAGAACGACAGTGATGACAAGATTACATGGTTGAAGCACTCACCACCTAAGTCCCAGGGAGAACTAACAGCACAGCAGCTCATTCGGCGAATAATCATTTTTACTTTGTGGCAAGCGACAGTAGTACTAGTAGTACTATTTGAAAATTGTGACAATCCACAGTAACATGCGGCGACTACTAGTATAACATAATGACAAATTGATGATAGCATGATGACAGCATGATTGCTGTATCACTGACGTTATATTTTTCCCAAGGGATCGATCCCAATTTGTCCGCAAGCTGGAAATGGATGGGTCAGATGTTTTCTATTTCCGTCCTTACTGTTCAGGAATTTTGGTGTGGATTAGGCATTTTTTGTGTGGAATTCGGTGAATTATGTGTTGTGCTTGGCGAAGTTTGTGTGGAACTCGGGATTTGTATTGTGTTATTGGGTCGTGTGTGTTTTTCGTTAAAATTTGTGTTTTTTTGTCGTTTCTGTGTGTATTTCGTTATTTAATGTGTGACAAAAAAAGGTCCTCGAGTCGAATAGAGGCTCGGCTGATAACAATCAATTTTGGTTTTGTCCTCGACCACACAAGTGTTCTTCGTCGTCGTTCCTCATCAGTGCTACCCCTTTCCTCGTCCCACTTGACAGGATATATGAAAAATCCAGACTCGTCCCTTATCGTTGTTTTTTGACATGTTAAGTAACTAACCCCCAGTAGTGAAATACTTCCAGTAGTGAAATCGAAAAGCTGAAACATTTGGAAATGCATGGTTGGACCAAGCAAACGTGATTATTACTAATGATGGCAGGAACATTTTGAAATGTATGGGTTGGACCAATCAAACGTGATTATTACTACTGGTGGCAATTCCTCGCATGGCAATAATGATGGAGAAAGCTCGCAGAATTCTACACGTCGAACGGCGTGACCCAAAACACCATTTTACACCACACCAGTACTCATCCGTGAAAGTCAGTCGTTAGGTATTTATAATCGTGCCTTGCTTAAGTTTAGAGTAACCAATGCCCGATGACAGTCGTGAAAACGTTCGAAACATTATGTGCACACGGTGCATCCCAAGCACCCTTGTGGAACATGCTAGAGTACTGTGTCTTTGACATCACCGAAGCAATGTCTAAATGCGGTTATTTACAGTTAGGACACTTCAGAATTCAAAAACGATGCCTCAACAGGAATTATGGCCATTCTCTGAAAAACACAAAACGCTTATTGCAACCATTGGCATTCTACGTTAGTAACTACCTGCATCCGGGGATTCCGAGTCTTGATTTTTCACTTGTATCCGACTAAAAAAGTGGTGTAATGACATGTGGCATGTGCTCTCCAATCATGTGTTTATGAAACGGTGCCTCCTTTGAGAATTATGGCCAATGAGGAGGAAGCCTATTCGACTTCAAATCATATGGGTATTGTTTACAGATAAGGCGACATTTCGATTAAAAGTACGAGTATCTAGTACTAGTAAATGGGACATGTAAATAGATGCGGAGACGCCGATAGAGTGATCCCTCAACGTTTGCTCGCTTTTCCAAATATAAATTTTCCAAGGCAGCCTATTGTATAAAGAAACCACAAACATTAACTTTGAAGGGTGACTATCTGCTGGTCAATTAAGCAAAAGCTGAAGTGAATGGCCCAAGTTCCGAGGTAGAGAGGCTTGATCGGCATATTTGCCTTAAAGTACTCTCTAATCGAGTTCTTGTCGTGAATTGTCAACCGCTTGCTTTGCTTGCGCTTGTTTTGCATGCTCTCAAATGTCTTTGTGTAGTTGTCAATGTGAGGTGTTTGGCTCCTCAATTTTGAATTTTCAAACGATGCATGCATGTCATAAGGCCCCTAGTAAATTAATATCGAATAAAATTTAACGGAGTATAAATTTATACCAGGGAGCAAATGTTGAGGGATCACTAGGTCACCAAACCAGTTCGT